TGCTGTGTAATTCCTTCCTGTGCTCCCACGCACTGATACCTGATAGCTTGTGAAGGTATTCCCAGTATTATTTCTTTTACCGGTGGAACGAGAGCAAGTTTGGATATGCCCCTCATGTGGGGTCAGGGCTGCACGGTGAACAGCAGTTCTCTGTTCGTGTAGGTGGGACTGGGACCAGAAGGAACTTGCAAACGCCTCTTCTTTCTTGTTCTACCTTTTTTCTTTCAGAATTCCTGTTTTGTGGAGTGTTGAGACAACTTGATGAGAGCTGACCAGCAGTGTCATAGGAGGGGTGTGCCATTAATTTTTGCCTGTTTTTTAATATATATACATGGATGAGATGACTGCAAATGAATGATAGAAGGAGAACACAGAACTGAAAAATTCAGAGGACAGCACATTTCTGCTTGGTGTATGAGCGGAGCACACCACAGCATATCCCCATGAATTTTCCCTTCCTTACTTCTAGTTCCCCTGTAACACCCCTCATCTCCTATTTGCAGTGGTTTTGATATGACCTTTCCCCTCTGCTCCCAAATCAGGCTCCCTGACACTCTCTGTACTCCAGGATAGCCTGTAGATGCTGCTCTCACATGTACCTGTCACATGGTGAAGTATTCTGTGGTGCACATCCTTCCTTGGGGGCACAGAGAGCCCCCTGCTCTCCCCTTCCCACCCAGCCAGCTCTGAGCATCTTCCTCTTCCCTGTAGTTTCTCTTGTTCCTGGTGATCAGGGGGTTTCATCCCAGAAGTTACCAGTAGGTAAATGTTTGTGGAAGGATGAGCAGAGACGAAAGGGGGGCAGTGCAGTTTAAGGCAGGCATTAATGGCTTCTGCAGGGCTTGGTGAAAGGAGAGCTGCGCCAGTGAGCAGAGTCCCGGTGTCCTCACCTGACCTAAGTGCCTGTGTGTATGGCACAGAGCATGTACAAGTTTTGTGCTGTGGGGAGTCAATTGTTAAAATAATTTTGTAGATTTAGAGTGCTGTTTTATTTTCAAAAAAGTGTGCAATATTAATAATAGCAGCCCCTGTACTCTTTTTAGTGAAGACTGATGCAGTGAAGTCACTAAGTTAATTGTTTTTTATTTTCCTTTTACATAAATTCTATGGATTTTACATAAATAACCATTTAGACAACCACAGAGATGACAAACACCAAAAATTAGTTAAGGTGCTGTTGTCGTATTTTCCTCAGTTGTCTTTTTCGCAACTATTCCTTATCAATTATTTCAACCTTTTTGTTTTGGGGTTGGTGGTGGGAGGAATCTATAGGATTTTATAGTTTGTTGGGGCCAGCGTTGTGATTTTTGGGTAGCTATCAGCTCTCTGTACAGTTGTCAGTCGTCTTTTTTTTTTTTTTTTTCTTTCAGTTACAGGCTGAAATTTTTCTGATGTTCTCAAAGAATGCGGTTGTCCTTCTTTGGTTACCTGCTACTCAAATTCCCACATAGATTTAATTTCATATGTTCTTCTTTGGTATCGCTCAGTTTGGCCTTGAGAGATGTGTTTTATCCTTCAGTAAACACTTGTCATGGAAAAGGCTGAAAGTGATTAAAAAATGATGAGTCTTACAAACCGCCAAGTCTGAAATAATCAATGTAAATTGTCCACTTCTACTAGGATAAGATATTCTCATATATGACATGCCTATTTCTTATATACTTCATTTCATAGTTTAAACAGATCCTTTTTCAAAGAGCTGACAAGAAACTACTACTTAATCTATTTAAATGCGGTTGACATCCCAGTATTTGTGTAGCATCATTGGAACAGTGCATCTTATATCCTATCCCATAGACCCCAAAGTGCTTCTTCTGGTTTCTCACCCATTCTGACGCAAGGTAATATGAATAAAAAAGTATGGTGTTACCTCGCAATTATCTGTAATCTGAAGGTGATATTTAATAACATAATAATTGCATTTTTGCATTATTAACTTTGGGGGATTATATTACGTAGGAGTAGCATTTCCTGGAAATTGGTTTTTGTGCGTTTCCTGAGGTTGTTTGTGGAGATAACTTTTTTTTGTCTTAATGGAATGAGCTCTTTATAAGCAGTGAAAAAGCAAAGCAGCTGACTGAAAAGCCAGAGTAAATCAACTTACTGATTTTGTGGCACATCTTCTATTTGGCAAATACAGATCATGAATCTACCAGAAATGAACGTGATATTGAAATTACTACCTCTCCACTTGTTATTGTCTTGTCCTTAACAACTCTGTAATGCCTTTTTTCCCATATCATTTTCCTAAAAAGTCATGTCAGGTATATACATCTTTAGAGAGAAAGGTCTACTTTTAATTACTGTAGAATTTTGTTGCAGGTAACAGCTTAATGGCTACTTGATGGCTGCTCATCATGTTATAGTCATTAAATGGCATTTGCTTCAGTTTACTCCCTTGACTTGTCTTGGAAAAGAAAATGGTTACTTATTTCCGTTTACCTATTTCTTCTCCTAAGAGGCACTTGCAATAGGCATGCTGAATTGTGTTTTGGTGTCTTTTTGGAGAATAGTATTTTCCAGCACTACAGAAGTTTCAGAACATCTGCCAGTACTTTATTACTGGTAATGTAGTGTGCACCTTGTCTATCCTGAAGAGTTCAAAATAAAAGATTGGCAATATAAAAAGGGCAAATACACACAGTTTTCATCATCCCCTGCTCCCCCCATATTGACTTTTAATTTTGCTGTGTAATAAATATTTTCATTTATATTTGACCTTTTAGGTGAGTGTGTAGATCATTTCAATGTGAGCATAAGTTAAGGTTTATGACTAGAAGAAAAAGATATG